AGAATAATAACTGATATAATTCAATAATGGCGACAAAAAGCACATAATAAAAAAAAAAGCCGCGTTCGCTTGTAATGCCTCCATTGTGATCAGCATTTTTCAAAACCAAAAAAAACAAAAAGTGCTCGCCTTTTTACTACATCTTTACTACATAAGTTACTTATTTGCGAAACGTTTCGCATATGAGAGGTTTTTTCTCCCTTTATCAAGCAAAAGTTTTTTTTTTCCTTTTTTATTTTTACTTTTTTGGCCTTTTCTTTTTTCTATTTTTTTTTCCTTTTCCTCTCCTTTTTGTTTCAGATATTTTTTTCTTTTTTTTTAACAATTTCTATAACCGTTGTTTTAAATAAATTAATTACGCGCGTTTTTAAATCGTATAGTTATAAATAGACATGGAAAACTCTCAACAGTAGCATTGACTAAAATAACTGATAAGTACTGAATAAAATCACATTGGAGATCTTCTTATTTCAAAGTTTTTATAATTAACATTAAAAAATAATAATTTGTAGCGGTAACAAAGAGATGAAAAGTGTTAGAAGATAAATGTGGAAATAATTAATAAATAATATAATTCTATAATCTATAGCTTAAGAATACCATAATTTGAACGATGAGGTAAAGCTTTTATTTGTTATCTTTTGCAATTGATGATTAAAAAAAGGAAAAAAAAAACTAATTAATGGCACAGAACCGGCCGGAAAAAAGAACAAGAAAGAAAACGAAAGGAAGTACACTGAATCACGAACACTGTGCAATGTGCAATGCACGTTGAGATGATAATTATTGATACTACAAGTTGAGAGAAATGTCCCATCAACCTTGACGTGTGTGTATATGTATATGTGTATTACCCGTGAGCAACTTAATACTAATAAATTAGGGAGTTTCTCCAATACAGAAAAGAAACTATATTTTAACGTTTTTAGTCGTTAATTTTATATTAAAAATTATTTATTATGCATAGTTTTAATCTCATATAATTTTGATTATATTTAACGATCAGAAAATTGATCATATCGGTCGAACGGCCTACTGAATGAATGAATTATCCATTTTAACACACTTTTTTTTCTTGTACTATTGAAAAGAAAAAACAAAGAGTTACACAAGGAAAGAGAGTTGTGTATCCAAATAATTTTAAGAAGACAATGAATTCCTGCAGTATATATGAATCCGTGAGGAAATAATTGTCCTCTATGTATCTACTCATGAGTTTCTTTTGTGTTTTCAGAAAATGAAAATATATATAGGCCCCGTTCATTTCGCTAATACGAGTTTAAAATTCAAGTTTTGCTACAGTAAAAAGCTCTCACAAACAATCACATCTAACTTTTTTGCTACAGTAAAAAACTCTCACATAAAATCACATCTCAACTCGAATTAAAAACTCGAATCAGCGAACTAAACGGGCCCATAGTTAACATGCTAGATATATTAGAAGTACGTCTGAGTTATTCCACTTGCAACGCGCTATATGACCCTATAGAAATTTTTCTTGTACTAAAAGAGAAATTTAATTGCCTTGAGGATATATATTTACTGGGAGATCATTCTATTAAGCGAACATAAAAATAAAAAATAAAAAAAAAAATCTTATAAGTTGCTTTTGTACCATATAATTTTTATTAAATTTTGTTAAATTTACATCACCGATGCATAACAACCTAACGTAGAAAATGTTTCCCTCTATTAGATAATTCATATATTTGTTAAGGTGAAGAGATCAGATGAGATGGAAGATTATACTTCATCATCAGTGCTATTATTTTCAGAACAGTATGGATATTAGCGTACCTGTTTCTTCATATATATATATATATATATATATATGAGTTTTTTTCGGTCCTCGGTTTCCAAAGGAGGGACGTCCCTCCTTTTTCTTTTCAACCATGCAGGTTTTTTGACACTTAAGTCCTGTTCATTTCACCGATTCGAGTTTTACTACAGTAAAAAACTTTCAGAAACAGTCACATCTAATTTTTTTACTACAGTAAAAAAACTCTCACATAAAATCACATCTCAACTCGAATCAGCGAACTAAACGCGCCCTTAAAATGTGGTTGGCAATAACCGGTTAATGAGGGATATTAAATCTCAACATAAACAACAGATCTCGTTTTGTTTGAACAGTAATATATTTGAACAACTCTGTAATGAAATTGGTTTGAGTATATTAAATGTTATCTTCTTATCTCACCAATGTCGTAGTCTATAATTGAATAAAGTTAAGAGTTACCAAATCTGTAATGAAATTGGTTTGAGTATATTAAATGTTATCTTTTTTTCTCACCAATGTCGTAGTCTATAATTGGGGGCATAAGATGTGTTTATTATAATTAATATGATGTCCCTTATTTGTACTGTTTAGTTAGTTTAATACATTAGTTACGTAATATAGTAATGAAAAATGGGAAATTATTTGATGATTTATGATTTTTTTTTAATACGGGTACCTTTAATAAATTATTGTTCTAGTTGACTTATTTACTAACCATTTTGATTATGCATCCCTAATTATCTTTTTCATTGCTTCCTTTGCAACCCGTACATGTAAATACTAATGCAGTCCTAATCTAATTTATTAGTCATCATCTTGCTACTGCCTTTTTTTTTATTATTTTTTGTAGAACAAGATAAAATGTCGCTACTCTTTAAATTATCTCAAATTGCACCAACAAATTTATCATTTTGCTTTGCATAACGGATATGAAATAGAATAGTTAACAATTTTGATTATATAAACACCATGTTTGATAAAACGGTTCAAGTGGTTTGAACCAAAAACTAAAGTTGACATTTCAAATCTCTAATGCGATATTTTGAACCAAAAAGTCTCTCAATTTATAACCTCCCCCTAAGTTCAACATGATTCTGAACCCATCTTCCATAGTACTTTAACCTCAAATCTCATCTCTTCTCTCTTACAAAAAAAAAAAAAAACACATTTCGAACATGTTAATCAAATGAACCTAAAGTGTCTTCGTTTTTCATTTTAACAACATATTTTATGCAAAAATCCATTCCGTATTCAAAATGGCCAATTTATTTGGATTATCTTCTAGGACATATTGAATAAATTCATCAGAGAAAACTTCAACGATTGTACAACACAAATTGAAACTTGTAAAATTTGGAGGTTTTATCTTTATTAGTGCACTGCATATAATCTTGATCCAGTCCAAACGAGTCAATTCAGTTTGGTGTGGATGTTTCTGCATGTGCATACCTGTACTAAATAGAGGTTTCATGCCTAAAGCTTTAACGAAATAAATAAATAAATAAATAAATAATAATATTAAAGTAATTACTGTTAGAAAATATAATATCCTTAGATGTAAAATATCTCTCAAAATTCAGTAAATATTCATGTTAAATCACTAAGATTCAACATAATAATAAGCGAAAACGTACTTGAATTCATGACAGTAAATCTCTCTAGAGCTGTGCGGTTTGTCTTCCAGATTAACATATTTTCCTAAAAAATCCTTTAAATTTTCTCTTTGCTCTCTCTCTGATGATGAGATGTTAGAAAAGAATATAAATAATAATACGTGTGATCTTAGTACTATATCTACTATATATAAATAACTTCCTTGTTATCTTTTGGTATTTTTATTTTAACCCATCATAAAAATAAAAATTATCATTAAGTCTCTACATATTAAAGACTCACATCTTATTAGATACATTAAAGCTCAAATAACCCAAACCTTAATAGACCACTCTTAAATGAACTTAACCATATATGACAGTCTGTAACACGTAACTATTCACGTATAAGTCTAATATTAGATTAAGAATCTAACAATTACCATTATATATTGGTTGGTGGCCAACGATTTTCGTCATTTGGTCACCAACCAACATATCAGGTTTTCTATTCATGTTCGTATACACCTATTTACACTTATTTTTCTATTATTCGTGAGAAGATTCTTTTGTTCATATACACTTTTTTTTTTTTCCTTTTTTAGGGCATGGATATTAATGGCATTTCTTATTTTCTTTTTTCGATATATCTTTATGCTGAACGGTGATAGCACTGAGAAAGACTTGGGAGGAGAGAAATTTAGACGTTAGTTTTCATGGATAAGATCATTTGAAACGTTTGTACGTTAGGGTAATCTAAGGAGGGTCCCACTTCAGCTAAGCACGTCACATGTTCCCAAACTTCCAAACTCTCTTGTTCACTACTTTGGTTCTAGCTGAGACATTCTTAATGAAACCAAAGACAATATGAAATTTGTACATATATTTTATGAAATACGTAATATGCATATATATATATATATATATATTACATAGCATTTGCATAAGTTTTTATTATAGTATTTTACCGTCTCGATTTTGAATTCAAAGTAATTAGCTTTTCAGGATTATTAGGCATTTGGATAAAGACAACGGGTCATCTTCCATTTTTTTCACTTCATGTCACGTTTTTTGCTCTGTAACTTCACGTCAGGTTGCACAAGTTTAAAAAGTATATAGGATGAATTATTTATAAAATACTAAAATCCTGTTCATTTTACCGATTCGAGTCTGTTCATTTTACCGATTCGAGTCTGTTCATTTTACCGATTCGTGTGTAGAATTTTATTTTTGCTACAGTAAACAACTCTCAGAAACAGTCACATATAACTTTTTGCTACAGTAAAAGGCTATCATATAAAGTCACATCTCTACTCGAATCAGCAAACTAAACAAGCTTTAAAATTTGAGTTTTGTTACAGTAAAAAGTTTACAGAAACAGTCACATTTAACTTTTTTATTACAGTAAAAAATTATCATATAAAGTTACATCTCAACTCGAATCAGCAAATTAAATGACTCTTAGGAGACGTTTGGTTCATGGATTAGAATCATGTGATTAGAATTATTTTCGATTTACGTATATTTTTTGTAAAAGAAACCCTATAACGAACTATGATTCAAATCATGGTTTGAATCTTCTAACCAAATATCATTTGAAAATGCGTTTTTTTTAGAAATTATTGAAAATGCTGACCATTATTACAAAGCTACAAACTATATCTGAGAACGAGACGCCAAATGAGGTACATGACACCAAGCTTGCTTGAAAGTACCATATAAAATAATTTGCTCATCATGTTCAAATAATAATAATAATGATAAAAAAAACACATACCTTTTGATTTCAGAGGAGTCAGTTAATATGTCGGAGAGAAATGAGCGCCGGAGGAGTTTCTCGAGAAAGTACCATTTTCGATAAATAAATAAATAAAAACACTTTTATTTATTCCCTATTAGATTTTAATCTCATTCATTTTGTAAGCTTTAGCCGTTGATTTTATATACTTAAACACAATTATTAATTCTTAATTCTGTTATAAAATTTTTTTCTCATAAGAAATTTAAAATTTAAACGTTAAGAATTATAATTTAAATATACTGTTAAGAATTATAATTTAAATATACTTTTCAACACTTGTTTTTCAATTCTTAAAAAAACCAAAAAAAAAAATTAAGAATCCACGTACACGTGTCAACTTAAAAAGATTAGAGAAATCAGATTATACAACATTACATTTTTTTCTTAAATTTATTAACAATATTAGAAATTTTTTAATAATCCGTCCTATTAATAGTTTCAATTTGTAAACGTTAAATTTTGTTAAAATCATAGATTTTTTTTTTTTTTCTCTCGTCGCTTCTCCGAAACTGACAAATTTTTTATTTTACTTTTTTCTTTGCCATGGCCCATAAGTGGAAAGTAGCAAATTCCAAAACTTGAGAGTGCAACAACACCATCAACGGACGGTTGATATCGAATCCAACGAAGCTGAAGGAGAGATCACCTAACCTTTGTATTGTCCTCATATCCGTGTCCTTCTTTCGTTCTTTCCAAATCTATTCCCTTATATTTTTTTTTTTTCTACTTTTTCTTCTTCCTTCTTCTTTCTAATAAGTTGTCTTTTTGTTATCTTTTGGCCTTTGACAGTTTTTTTTTTCTACTTTTTCTTCTTCTTCTTCTTCTTTCTAATAAGTTGTCTTTTTGTTATCTTTTGGCCTTTGACAGAATGTTACTGAGGCTTCCAATTATCACTCTCCCTTCTTCTCCACTTCCAAAACCAATCTCAACCCACCACCAAAAATGTCTTCCCTCTCAGAACTTCTCGCCAAAGAAGGTTTCGAAGGCGAAAGATCACTCCAAGCAAGGCGGAACTTACTGAAACACAGAGACAAAGTTGCACCAGACAGAGATTCCATAGCTCTTCCTCTCTACATCTGCCACGCCAACAATGGCCGCAAAAACCGCTGCTCTTCCAAGCAGAGGATTGAGAAACCTCTAACGGTAAATGGGTCGTCGGTGTTTTCGTCGAAAAGGGTCGGTTCGGTCTCCGAAAGATCGAATTCCAAGTCCTCCGTATCAGAGTTTTCGAGAAGAGAAGATCCCGCAATTGACGAAGTCTCTGTCCGAGCTGTTGTTTCTATACTCAGTGGATACGTCGGAAGGTTCATAAAGGATGAGAATTTCCGAGAAAATGTCCGGGAAAAGTGTGTTTCATGTTTGGCGAGAGGGAAAACAGATTTGGACGATGAGATTTTCGAGAGACTAGAAATAAGTATTCAAAGTGTGGACAAGTTATTGGAAGAGAAAGGAGTAAATAAGGAAAGAATAGTAGAAAATGTAATCCAGATTTTGAGTGCAGCTGCTTCCACAAACGCTAAGAAAGGAAATGATCCATATATCTCTGCTTGTGCTCAACTTTACTTGTCAATTGTTCACAAGATTGAGAGAAATGATGGAAAATGTACTACACACTTGCTTCAAGTTTTTTGTGATTCTCCGTTTTTGGCAAGAACGCATTTGGTTCCCGATCTTTGGGAGCATTTTTTTCTCCCACATCTTTTACATCTCAAGGTTTGGTACACCAACGAGCTTGAGTTTCTTACGGACTTGGAGTGTCGTGAGAAGGAGAAGAAAATGAAAACCTTGAGTAAGGTTTACAATAAGCAAATGGATAAAGGAACTGTTGAGTTTGCTTTGTACTACAAAAAGTGGCTTAAAGTTGGGGTTGAAAATGCTCCTGTTGTTCCTCTAATTCCTTTGCCAGTTAGACCTTACAGAGCTTCTAGAAGGTCAATGGATACATGTAGCACACATTCCTCAGTTAACAACAACTTGTAAGCACTAAAACACCTAATCTTTTTATACGAATGGTTTATGTTGTGGTAGGATTAGTAATTCAAATATTTTGTCAGATTTTTGTGTTTAATTTTCTATATAATCGTGTATTCGTGCCTTGTCGTAACAATCTAAATGAAATACCAAAATTTGGCAGAGGATCTAAGATCTTGTAATTGTATGTTTTCATAATTTGCTCCATGTTTTTTTTTTTTTTTGGTCAAAGATATCGAGTTGTGTTTGGCTCCAAGCTTGGGAGGAAATCTGAGAATTTTGCTGATCAAAGTCCAGCTCTGAGGGACATGCGAGATGTAAATGAAGAGGAAATTTTGGATGAAGATAAGGATGACAACAACAATGGAAGTTTTCTTCATGTGAGTAATTCCGTCTTCATCTCATGCTGAAAAGTTTTAGTTTCCTGTAAGTTAGTTTGTTTTTGAGAACATGTATTTTTTCTTTTTTCCTTTTAAATTTAACAGAGGGAGCAAAGATCATCGAGCCTATTTGAAAGGAATTGGAAATCTGAGTTATGGAGAGACACACAAAAATCAGAAAATTTTAGATTATTTACCTGTCAGCAGACTGCGCCGTTACAGTTGGAATGTTTGACAAGCGGCAATCATTTGTCAAAGAATAGCTCGGTTCGGAAAAAGGAAGAGACTAGAAATGTTTCGAGCAATTTAAGCAGGGCTATTGCATCTGTTTGCTCCTCTGATAGTCTAAGCGAGTGTGAAGTTGCCATTCGTACAATCACGAGAGCTTGGTTGGATTCACGCGGCGATCCTATCATTGAAGACGCATTGTCAAAAGCACCTGTGATTGAGGGAATGCTTGAGGTGCTGTTTGCTTCTGAAGATGATGAAATTTTAGAACTAGTAATATCGATTCTGGCCGAACTCGTTTCGCGAAGCGATCTAAACAGACTGATAGTACTGAATTTTGACCCTCAGCTCGATATCTTCATGAGACATTTAAGAAGCACGAGTCTGTTCTTAAAAGCTGCTGTTCTGCTTTACCTGTCAAGGCCAAAGGCGAAGCAAATGGTATCGGTCGAGTGGGTGCCATTAGTTCTTCGAGTTACAGAGTTCGGAGACCAGTTGCAGACTCTATTCACAGTGCAATGCAGCCCTTTGGTGGCAGCATTTTACCTTTTGGACCAAATCCTTACAGGTTTTGATGAAGACAGAAACCTAGACAACGCGCGACAAGTGGTTTCTCTAGGAGGTTTGAGCATGCTGACGGATAAGATTAAGATAGGAGATACCACTGAGAGGATCAATGCTGCTATGTTCATCTCGTGTTGCATCCGAGCCGATGGAAGCTGTAGAAACTACTTAGCTGAAAATTTGAGCATAGATTCGCTCATCGAACTGGTTCTTCTGGAATATCACAGGAATCCCTGTGGCTCAGCATTTGATTTGTTGATTGAATTAATCTGCCTTAGTAGGTAAATTTATATTCTTATACTTAAATCTACTTTAAAGTATTTTCTTTTGGAAGTTCTTTTCTTATACTGATAAGGAAAATATTCCCAGGAGAACACAGATAAATAAAATCTTGTACATACTCAAAGAAGGCTGGGGTAGTTTAAACATCATGCACATCTTATTAGCCTATCTCCGAAAGGCTCCATCGGAAAAACGCCCGCTAGTTGCGGCCATATTGTTACAGCTTGATCTCCTGGTAATTCAAAATTAATGTTCTTGTAGCGCATAAGAAATTAGTCCTTTTCTAAGCCTTCTAGAAATATCTAGTTTACACCATTTTAATTCCCTTATGGAGTAGCAGCTTTGTTGCAGGAAGATCCTTCAAAGTGCAGCATATACAGAGAAGATGCAGTTGAAGCAATTATAGAAGCCTTGGATTGTCAAATATATAATGAAAATGTCCAAGAGCAATCTGCGAGAGCTCTTCTTATGCTAGGAGGTCGATTTTCTTACACCGGGGATGCAACAATAGAAAACTGGCTTTTAGAACAAGCAGGCTTCAACGAATTTGGGATCAATTCTTACAACAGAACTGAATTTGTAAGTTCTTTTTTTTTTCTTTTTTCTTTTACACCATCTTGATCTCTAGTTGAAGTTTCAATTTTCTAACGACGAATTGGTTGCCGCGGTATTCGTTCATGATCAGAGAGCGGATGAAGAGGCAGCAGAAAACTGGCAGAAAAAAGCAGCAGCTGTCTTGTTCAAGAGTGGCAACAAGAGATTACTGGATGCCCTTTCGGTTTCCATATCGAATGGCATTTCGAGTTTGAGCCGAGCAAGCCTAATCACGGTTTCGTGGATGTGCACATTTCTTCATTTGGTTGGAGATGAAAATCTGCAGCTAATGGCGTGCTCAATTCTTGTACCTCAGTTTGTGGCATCCTTGAGTTATGACAAAGATGTGGAGGGAAAAGTGCTTGCATCATACTCGTTACTAAATCTCACAAAGCATTCAGGTATTTCTTTTTATATACCTGTTTAATATTATCTGAATATATACACTTAGTTTACCAATCCTTAGGAGACGGGCCAACAATAATTTTATACTTTATTACTCCCTCTCATATGTAGACTGGACAATAGACAATCATGTAAGTAAATTAACTAGAAAGCTCAAGACATAAATATTAAAGATTCAACACGTAATGACAATTTAAATGAGAATAAAGAGCGCAATGATAGGGGTTCAAACTCAGGACATCCGCTCTGATACCATAATAGTTTAAAAATTCATTCTAAAAGCTTAAGCTATTAAGAGGTGGGTATCAAAATGTAATTTTCCCTACTTTATAAAGTTTTTAGAAGTACTCTAATAAAAGTTCAATATTCTAACCCTTTTTTTTATTTTTTTTTTAACTATGTTGGACAAATTTGCAGCAGAGTGTGTATCAATGCTCTTATCATTGGACAAAGATCATTTGCTCAGTCATCTTAAGCAGCTTCGTTTAGTAACATGGACAGCTGACGAGCTTCTTTCGATTATCATGAACCGAGTACAGGGCCTGATGTAAGTTTTTTTATTCAAACATAATAAAAGAATTATCTCTTTAATTATTCTTGTAATTTGTAGATTGGAGTGTGTTAATTCTTTGTCCATGGTTTTTTACGGTGCATAATTCCATGCCTTTTTCTAATAATTTAGTGCCAGTTTGGTATATTTCAAATAAAATAGGTAAAGTAGGTTTTTCAATCCTTTTTATTTCTTAAGAAAAATTCAAATAGAAAATAAATTTGGTAACCAAGCTCTTTTACCTGCTTTTAGTCTTTTGAGAAAAACGGTAACTATGGGAGAGATAAGAAATATGGAATGTTGTCTTCTTCTTTTTTTCATATATATATATATATATGTCCTCGTGTATTTATTTATTTATTTTTGTTGAGGGAACCCTTATGTATTTATTTGTGTATGTAACTATTTACATTCCTGTAATTTACACGATCATGTTCATATATGTGTGTGTATATGTATATCTTGAATGTGAATTTGCCATAAAATAATGTTGAATATACTCACCATTAACTTTTCAATAAATAAAAAATTGCTATATACAAATTGTACAAGACTATTTATGAACTGAAAATTAAAATTGACAATAAATTTTTGATTGATTGCAAATCAGTATTCATAAATCGTGTACAGCTTTATGTATTCATATATATAAATCTAAAGTCATATATATTTTGAAAAAAAAAAATCATATATAGGGTGGGGAATTGTTACTTCTGTCTCTACATTGCATATCCGTATTCATCAATATACGAATTTGAGTATAAATATAAACAAAGCCAACTTCCTTTTTTTTTTTTTCTTACCTTTAATCGATAAATTGATAATTTATTTAGGCAGGGCAAAAAACAAAAATCCTTCTGGTACCACATAGTTTTTAGATAATCATATAGCAATATAAAAATTATTTAGAACTTACAAAAATAAACTAATTCAGCGGAACTCGATGAGATCTAACAATAAATAAATAAATAAATAAATAAAACTACACATATATGTGATTAAGATCTTTATATACTATTTTACAAAATTTGATTTGCTTAACAAATTCTACCAATGCATTTCCAGCAAAATAATAATGAAGTAAAAAGATGTAGAAAGTGCCAATAATTTCGTGAAATGTTACCACTTTCACGTGCAGCTTCCTTGATTACAACTCAAGTTTTTTCAGGCCCGTTTATTTTACCGATTCGAGTTTTATTACAGTAAAAGATTTTCAGAAACAGTCACATTTAACTTTTTTACTATAGTAAAAATTTCTCATATAAAGTTATATCTCAACTCAAATCAACAAACTAAAAGAGTCCAATAGCAACAAGCAGAAGGAACAATAAGGGGACGTTTAGTTCATGAATTCATAATCATGATTCAAAATTATTCTCATTTTACGTGTTTTTTATGAGAAAAAATATTGTAACGAGTCACGAACTATTATTCTAAACATGGTACAAATCTCCTTTCTAAACGTACCCTAAATCATTCAACTTTTTGCTGTACGCGTTTGAATTCATGGTCCTGTTGCTTTCATTGTTCCTCAGACAATTAGAAATTGGAAAATGGCATCTTAAGTGGAGCAGAGCGGCAGCAAGTTGATAATACACAAACTTTGTGGTCATGTGCCACAACGTTGGAGCGAGAAAAATATTGGTCCCCAGTCTAGTTTTTGCCGTCATTAAAAAAAGTAAAAAGCTTTCCTTTTATAACATAAAAAAGGTGGTCACCAACGTGTCAGTTCTAGTTTCGGGATTTGGACGTTAGTGTCACCTTGCCTTGAAAATGGAGCTATAACTTTGTGTCGGGTTAGACGGGTCGACTTTGTGCCTGTCACTGTTTACTCAATTCTAGCCCGGCCCTAACTCTCAAGTAAACCAGAGCCTATACTCTAGGTCAAAACTATTTTCAAAACGTGAAGTGCTCTTATTATATAATTTTGGGAAATTTTGAAAAATACTCCTCAAAATAGTCTATTTTTATTTCTACCCCTTAAATATTACTCTATATATTTCTACCTTTTAGACTATAACTAGTCAAGTGGTAGAGTTTTTTAAAATTAACATTTTTAATAAGTCAAATACTTAAAAAGATAGAATACGTAATTTTCTCTATAATAATTTTTTCTTAAAAAAAATTCCTTGTAAATGTTTAGGCCTGCCTTAACCTTAGCCTGTCGGGTTGGCTGGACCGAACCGGGCCAAACTTCCTTCTTTTAAGGTTAGCCTTGCCGGTCACTGTTGACCTAGTCCCAACTTAAGTCAGGTTGAGCCAATACTCTAAACTCAAACCCAAGAGCGGAGCTGCCTTAGGCCCGGGGACAATTGCCCCCCAGAGCCAAGGGCTCATCTTAGAATTTGGTTCAATCTTAAAATTTTTGACATTTTCTCTTTTGTTTGCCCCTCTCAAGTTTTCTAATTATCACCTCTGCACATATTTTCTTTAAAGAAATTTCAACTATACATTTCATTTTGACTCTTAAATATAGTATTGTTCAAACTTAATATCTCAAATAAACTAAAAAACAACTATATAACTACATAAATTCATAAGAATCTAAGCTTTAAACATTAAATTTAACTATATTACAAGTTTAGTTTAAACAAAATTACAAATAAATAAATTAAGGTTAAAAAAATATTTTCTTATAATTTTAGTTAAAAATTTTGATTTAGTTCAAGGTCTCTTTCAAAAAATTTCCTCACTTCGCCATTGCCCAAAATTATTTCCGAACCAAGAAGTGCTCTTATTATATAATTTTTTCTAAAAATATTTTTCTTGTAAATGTCTGGGCCGGCCCTAGCCCTAGCTCGTCAGGCTTTAAAGCCAGATTGTGGCGACCTTCCTCTTTTTAGAGTTGGCCGAGTCTGACCTAGATATCTTTTCGGGTCACCAGTTCTAACGAGAGAGCGTGAACTTTCACCCATACTTAAAAAGTATTTAATTGACTAACAAACAAAAAAATTATAAAAGTTAAGAATGATGCTATACGCTATTAAGCTATGTTTTCTTACTATCTTGCAACCACCACCGTTAGTCATGCATTTTTATTGAGTTTTAAATCATTGAATGATATGAGGATTAATTTTCTGTTTGTGTAAGTTACTTCAAATTTTTGTAACTTATATAACATAGAAGAATAAGACCTTTTTTATTTTTTAAGCTTTTGTTATTTCACCCTACTTGCTTGCTTGCTTTTTTTTTTTTTAAAGAAAAATAAACATTTTTTTTTACTTCAACTTGTGGCTTTTTTTATTTTTTTTATTTTTTTTATTTTTTTTGTACTTTAACTTGTTGCTTGTTTTTTTTTTTTTTTTTCAATTTTCGTTATTTCAACACGTTTGATTTATATGGGCATGAGAAACCTTATTGAATGCTAATCAGTTATAGGATTAACATTGCATACATCTAACTACTTAAATATGCAAATCTAAGCATAATAAAATATGGGTGAATGAAGGAAATAGCAGAAATAGGGGGTAATTAAAATTTATAGCATATATTAATTTTAAATTTAGTAAATGTCATAAAATTCTGTGATTCTCTATGGTTCTATCTCACTACAACTAAGACGGCGTATTTTTCAATTTTTTTTTACTTTTATTTTCATATTTTTGTAATTTGGATTTAGTTAAAAGTATTCAAAATTAAAACTAAGGTCTCGTTCATTTTACTGATTCGAGTTTTCAGTTTTAGGTTTCTACAGTAAAAAGCTATCAGAAAATGTCACATCTAACTTTTTCTGCTACAGTGAAAAGCTCTCAGAAAATATCACATCTCAGCTCGAATTGAAAACTCGAATCCGCGAAGTGAACGAGGCCTAACTGTTTATGAGATTGGTCAGTTTGGTTTCCTATGGGGTCGATCAAGTTGTGTCGCATATTCGGGTTCATATGAACAACCCAAAACTTTTTCTTGTAACACAAGGACATCACAATCATATTCAAGTTGTTGAGGATCTAAATATAAACTTTCTTAAGAGTACAACTAAATTTTTAAAACTATTTTTTCTCATGATTGTCTTCCGCATTTGTGCTAACTGCCGACTTTTATTTTGCAAATCTCTCCGCTCCATAACAGATTATAGATCTCTCTGCAAAATATATGAGAATTGAGCCTCTACAATAACCAAAATTAAAGCTGGGACAAAATAAAATAAGAAAAAGTGTGAGGGCAGTAACCATAATAATAATTTAACGAAAGCTTTCACATTTACAAAGCTATATAATTAGAAATTAAGGTGGTTCATTTTCACTTAGAACCCAACAGTTCTAAGACCCGGTTTGGTAATGCTTTTTCAACTATCAGAAGCCCTTCTCCATTAAGTTTTAGGTTAAATTGTGTTTGGTAAAAAACTTGTGCAAAAAGTTTAAGGGCCCCCACAACAAAAGCTAGAAGTCGGTGGAAAGTTACTTTTGCTTATGGCTTATGCGGGAAGCTGTAGGATCATTCTAATGAATTTTTTTTAAAACCCAAATTACTCATGTTTAATTATCACAATTCCATTAAAGACTTTTTATCAGACTCATCACCTTTCTCTCTCTCTCTCTTCGAGCTCTCTCTGTTTCTCTCTCTGTTTTCTCTCTTCGAGCTCTCTCTCTTCTTTTTTTTTAAAGTTAAACAAGTATTTTTTAATAACAAACAAAATTATACATATTTAAATTTCATATCATATCTATTTTAATCATCTTAACTACTGACATCAATTTACAAAACGGTATTACACTGCTTTTGAAATCAACAACACTTATATAATTAGAGTTTATCAAAAACTTAACTGCTTTTTGTAACATCTATTTTTTTTTTTTTTTTCAATAGCATTATCAAACTGACCCTAAGTCGGTTATAGTGAAAACTCCGAAACCTCAGAGTGTTTCCTGGTCATTGATTATAATATAAAACTAAATAGCTAAATAATAGCTCGAAAACCATAACAGGAATTCACACGAGAAATGAAAAATGAACGAATTATAATAACAGATGAAAAGTGAGGGTCTAAGGGGACAGGTAAAACAGAAGCAACTAATACAGAAATCCCAGAGTTTCAAATTGCAAAATGACATAATACCAAACCAAGTTTTTTATTCAATACAAAACGTTAAGCATTGCAGATACTCCACGCATAAACATTTGGAAACCAAACACACTAGGACATAAACAGTACAAAAAAAGAAAACAGAACACCCACGTCCACAAGAGTAGCAAAGATAAAAGAAACATAAATAGTTTTAACTGACAAACAGCTTCAAACCACAATCCTAATATGAAGCATGACTTCCCTCGGATTTCCATGGCATGCACCTACAAATCATGAAAAGACCGAAAGCCATACATTATTTATTGACTCAGAAATCCATTAGATTCACGCACAAACTCGACTTCATTGGTGTGTACCCAAAAGAGAGAAGCTTGGATCAGCATAGTGGCGTTTTTGACAAGCAACTATCCTCTCCTTACTCCTCTTGTCTTCTCCCTTTGTCAAAAAGGGAGGAGAAGATACATGCACCAATGCCGCATCCTGTCAAATGAAAAACATTTCATTCTCAAGGTCTGCATGCAACTTGTAGAAGCTTTCATCCAATGAAGCCACTGAAGACGACGACCCCAACATTGATGAAGATGAAGATCCTCCTGAATGTGGAGATTGTCCCTCAGTCAACGCCTCGTAATACAGTCTCCCTCTGTAAGCAACAAGGTCAGCATAGTACACCGGCGGGACCAAAGAGACGGGCTTGGTGCAGCGAGCCATGGTAAAGCACATGTCATATATGAGCTTCTGCAATTGGTCAGATGTAAACCCGATCTCATCGTGCAAGACGTGGTAGTGTGTGGGCTTGCTTGTTCCAAGGCTTCCATAGTGACTGCACAGATAGAAGTCAAACTCAAATGGGTGAACAACTCTTGTGTCTACAACCGTGCCAGGAGGCACATTGCCTGTGGGACATGCATCATTACTACCCTGTGGGAACAAACGTGTTTGATGGCGCTTCTGGGCAACAATAAGAGTGATGTGTGGAGAATAGTTTATAGTGCGAAGTACTCTTCTTAAATCAAGTAACTCTTCATTGAGAACCATGTCAAACTGGCCCTCACTGACTCCATCCCTGAAGATGATAAGTTTCTCCGGTCTGCCCTTGTTCAGTCGAGTATAAGATTCAATAAGCTCCAAACACATGTCCCCAAAATCCATAATCTTCTCACATCGATGACCCTGAGCGCGAACTCGTGCAGCATAGCGATTTACAGCAGGCCAATTCATGGTGGAAACCACAGCTGCAATTGATGGGCTCGTCTCATTCCTAGCTGCAGGGTGGTTGACATCAGCCCCCACAAACATCACATGGCCAGCATCTGCAGAGATGGGGAGCCGACTTAGCTCAACATTACTGCCTCCAAGCTTTGCATTGATCTTCAGAGCAAGATTCGCAAGATACTGGTCCTTCGCTTCATTTGCAAGACGGGATAAACAACACTGTGTCACAATACCAATTTTCGTTTCACAAATCCACTTAAGATACTTGTAACCGGGATCCCTCTGGGTCATCACACAAAGAAGAAGTTGCAAACGGTATCCAGTATACTTATAAGCTTGTTCACTTATGCCTTCAAGAAGTTCACGAAGCATATTAACACTAGAGAATTTATCCATTGAAGTGGGTTCACAGAAAAGAGGCTCCCGCATTTTGATCCCCAATTTTTGGCATCGGATGATAAGCTTTGGAATGAATGCTTTAGAGTCTAGAAAGCGTCCATATTGGCGGAAGTCAAGGACAGCCCATCTTTCAATAGGTTTTCCCTGCACCACTGACTTTCCAACAAGATTCCAATGACATTTCTCTCTGTCAACTGATACTGTAACCACTTTACCATTAGCAGCACCTAGCTTCAACTCAGGTGGCGCAATTACTCGACCGTCCACAGGAGTCATATCCGTGTTGACTTCAATTCCAAAATTTTGGGCGATGCCCCCTCTGTCAAAATGACACATAACAAATAAATAACAAGATTACTTATACTCACTTATATTCTCAGCATGTTAACAACAATCCACATCTAAATTTTCTTAGATGACTTCATTTACATCTACAAAACTATTTAATGATCAATGGATGCAAGATTTGTTTGCAACAGTTATTAGTTTTACTATATTTTAGGACATGCCAGATTCCTACGAGTGCCATTGTCACCACATCCTCGTTAGGACAAACAGAAACTCATAATTTACTTCATGATAATTCTGAAATGTGTTGCATTTACATCATAAACAACTTAAAACACCCATCTCCAGCCAATTAGTAGTTGGGAGAAGACTACCCATTTGAGATTACGTAACACTAGCATGGTGCCTATGGTACAAGAATTTCATATATTTGCTACAGAAACCTAGGCCACAACTAATTGATTAGCTTATAACTATAGGAAACAGGTCAAAGATCAGTCATAAAATAGAGCATTCCACTAAGCATAAATGGCTGTCACATCTATAATAGGAGCAATTATCAACCAAATTGAAAACGAAACACATTTAAGGTACTAGTTGAGGGCACACGCTATGCACGTGGGGGTAATTCTATAAGTTTCATCCTTGTATTAAGTTCGGATTATTGTGTTATTACTTATGTTTTTTTAATAATAGAGATCTTAGTTAGTTGTTAGTTAAGAATAACTGCTAAAATAATAAGGATTGTACAGCAAAAAAACTTAAATGGGACTCTTTTGGAAAATTATATCTCACTGGGAACATGAGGGTGAAAAAACAATTAAACAAAAGTGCATCAAAAAAGGACTACACTATAGGAATTTCTCTTTTAAAAAAATGAAAATAAGGAAATAAGCAAGAATGTACATCGGGGAAAAATGATAAGATTAAATAAAGGGGTGAGAAAAAACAAAAATAATAGACACAAGAGGCAAATCAAAAAGGACGGGGGACCCAGAAACAAATAAAAGGAAGAGAAGAGAAAAAAAAAAAACAAACACAACAAGAACAAAAATGAGGGACTAAATGAAAAAAATTAAGTAAGGGTGGGAGGGAAAATAAAAATAATGGACTAAAAAAGCAAGTAAAAAACGAAGAGAGAAAAAGAAATAAATAAAAGAAAGAGAAACAAAAAAAAAACACACAAAAAATGTAAAAAAAAAAACAGACAGGGGGGGGGGACTAAAATAAGAGAAAACAAAGATACGGGACTCAAAATGCAAATAAATAAGAAAGGGGGATCAAAACAAAAGGAATAAAAGTAAATAAAAAACAAAAAAAGGGACGAAATACAAAACCACGGAGGTGTGATTGCACATTTTTGGCATATTTACCTACACGTAATTGGAATCAGCATGATTCGGAGTGGGCATAAATAGGAGTAGGTAAGATTCAGAGTGAGGAATCGGATTCAGAATAAGTTGTTTATTTAGTGACAGGATTCGGAATCAGAATCACTCTAAATCCCATTCATGCGTTTACTTACCCAGAATCAAATGAACTAGTGTAAAAGTATTAATATACCTTTTAAGTAAATTTTATATTTTTAATTTAAAAAATAAATTGTGCATATATTTATTATAATAATAGGATAATAAAACAATAAATACAAATTGCACAATTATTTAGGGTGTGTTTATTTGCACAACTCAAGTCATGACTTGAGGTGTGTGTGAAAGAAAAACACTATAACAAAAAAGTTGAATTTAAATTTATGTGAGAGAAAACACTGTAGCAATATGACTTGAGTCATGAAATGAACAATGCCTTAAAATATAAAAATAAATTGTCAAAATTTGAATAAAATAAATTATTAAAAATTAAAATATATTATTAGTTTATTTAAAAAAGTAAATATTTATTATATTAAAGTTAACAATAATCAAGCTAATCCTATAATATAAGGCAAATAAAATAAAAAAATATAGGTTGTAATTATTATTTTTGAATTTTATTTTTAAAAGTAAACTTAAGGTATGATAGTAATCTAATGTTAATATAAGGAATGAGAGTCACAATCCTAAGGGGTCCATGGATTGCTAATCCCATTTCTCAATATCAAATTTGAGTAAGGCCCACCAATACCATTCCCATTCCAAGATAGAAAAAGAGCAAGTAAACATGGGATTGACTCCATTTCCCACTCTCATTCCGTAAATAAACATGCCATTTATACATTGAAGATAAAAGATAAGGCACCCTCATACTCCCCAAATCCCAACATAGTTTCCCATATCGAATTCTTCAATAGTTCAAAGGTGGTACTTATAACTATGCATGTGCACCCACAAAGTGACGGCTGAATTGGATCTAGAATAGGTACTAAAGTTTTAAAACAATAAAAACGAGACACATACAGAAAGAATTAACACATTTCACGTACCCGCAAGGTCCATCTACGGATCGTATCATTCTCTGGATCTTATCCCCTCTATCACGCGGATGAGGCAATGACCAATTTTTCAGAGCTTTAGCTGCATCTCTATCCAACTTGTCCAGCTGCTCCTTGGGAAACCTTTGCCCCTCAACAATTTCACAAAACTCCATAGGCACATAATTCTTTTTATTGATTTTTCCTAAATCCAAGCAGGGGATGTCCAAATACACAATATTCTTGCCATATTTCTCCCTGAAATAATCCACTAGAAAAACTTCCCTTGGTGGAATTTTGCCATCTGGATCTTCAACACGAAACGTAGAATCACGCGCATTTTCCCTAGTCAGCCCCCTCACGACAAACTTCTGCTTGTTCGAGCGGTGATTCACACAAACTTTCAGTCCCTTCAGTGCATTCTCAACTTTTCTTCTATACTTCCGAAATTCGTTCAGATTGAGATCATATATGTGTTCTGTGAGGAAATCCAAAACTGGCATACTCTTGTGAAATGCCAAAACAGAGTAATCTAAACACAAGCTTAAGCCTTGAGAAGTAGGCTTTAAGCTATGCTGAAATCCTCTAAATGCAGAAATTCCATAACCAAGATCATCTCTTGGATCAGGTTCTCTAAGATAAAAGTTTCGGCCAGCAGAAATCATCCTCCTAGTTGGATTCTCCTTCATTACCAGATCCATCCCTTGCAATATATCACGAGGGATAGATGTGAGACATCCACTTAAGTATTCCTTTAACTTACCCAGCTTGAGCTCATTCACAAACTTGATAGTGAACTGGTAAGAACGGACCTTTGCATCATCTCCATTAGATACATCCACTTTGAACTTTCCTGTTGGCAATTTCACAGCGCTGAATATATTCTTTTCACCGTCATATGCAGTTAATGATAAGGGAAAGTCTGAAGGCTTGTCAGAGGATAACTTGTTTCTGATCATAGAAAGATCAGACTTTGGTATTCTCGCAGGCCGCCCATGCTTAGAAGGTCCCTCTGGTTTGACATCGACATCATAGTGCATTATAACACTTTCAGCATTGTAGTTGACAAGAAAATGATTAACAAGAAGTCTAACACGTCGGACGGAATTAGTGCCACCCTTATCAGGTCGCCGTACGGGAGACATCTGACCGGACACGTTCAACATTGTCATCATAGGAATCAAAGGATCTGTAGAAACCATAAAGCTCAATCAATAAACAAAATCAAAAAGTTCCAATAACCACAACATAAGCTAGGTGACTCTATTATTACACCTCTATTTGCTCTATCCTACTTTTAATGAACAATTATATATTTCTAAAATGCTCTTGCTGAAAAAATTCATTAAAGCGCACCCATAACAATAAAAACCAAAATAATCTCCTTACACACCTCTCATGAGCATATATCCAAGAAACATCAAGTATAAAACAATTCTTCTTGACATTTCTTGGACCTTCCACAGGAAAGATCAAGAATTATCAAGATGTTAACACGATTTTGAACTATAACTTGCCTAATTACGTCAAATATCCATCTCATTATTGAACAAAAAGAGCTCCCAATAACATATTATGCAATTTAATTAAATTCAAAAACCGCCTTAAAAATTAAGAGAAAAAATAACAAAAAACGCAGCGGGTTCACCCAATCAATTGAATTTCATTCTCTCAACATTTTAAGGTTTAAACCTTCACAGATTTATACTTAAAAAAAAAATCCTACAATAATCCCTAATCAAATAAAAAATTTAAATATAGAGAACAGATCCTTACCAGGAGAATCCTTATTGGATTCAGTTGGAGCAGGTTGACTCGAAGTAGAAGGCGACGACCATTCTTTCCGCGGAGTCCCCCAAACACTGTCTCCACTCCCACCGCCACGGCCAGAAGCTCTGCTTGATCCTTCGCCTGGGACAGTCCGCGCCTCCGTCGGACCGCGATCTACCACATCCGAGCGGGCTCCACTGCCGTTATTGTTCCTCCACGAAGCCCTCTCCGTCGGATTCTCATACCAATCGCCGCCGCCGTAACCGCCGCGCTGATTATGTGGATAATTCTGATAACGATCACCGCCGCGGCTGCTTCCTCCGCCATATCCACCAACTCGTCCTCCTCCGCCACGACCCCCTCCTCCGCCGCCACCATCTCCTCTGCCATAGCCAGGTCCTCCTCCGCCTCTTTCTCCGCCGGCATAGCGACCACCTCGTCCTCCTCCACCTCTACCTTCCCCCCCGCCATAGCCACCACCTCGTCCTCTTCCTCCGCCTTCGCCGCCACCATAACCGCCGCGGCCGTTTCCTCTGCCTCTATATGCACCGCCACCTCTTTCCATTAAATTGAAAACTATAACCAAACTGTGAGAGAAGAATTTCTTGATGGAGTGGGTTTATATAGACATATAAACAAAGAAAGAGAAACGAGAAGGTTGCGTTTAGGGGTTAAGGAACTGGGGGGAAAGGACAGTCGTGACCTTGACTTACTTCCTCAACAAGTTTGAAAATTGAAAAAAATAAATATATAAAGAAAAACAAAAGTTTTGAACTTGGCATGTGAAAGATTCCAGAAACTTCCGGTGAATTCGAGAAAGGGTGTCTTCCGTACGTTTGGAAGGTAACAGGAAACGACGGAGGTTTTGAGGGGAAAGTCGCAGGAGAGGAGAAAATCTAGGGATTGACAAAAGCTTGCTTCTTCTTCTTTTTTTTTTTTTTTTATTTATTTGAGGACTTCTTTGTTAATTGTTATTAGTTATATTACTCAAATACAGAAATACTTTCCCACTATTTTCATTCCGGTCAATTGTTAATGTTAATCAATTAGGAAAGTCTTTTCTTTTAAACTGTGCATTCAGTTTGAATTAAATGGCTTAACTAACAAACACAGATTTGGACTGCAAAGCCCGCTTAGACTGGCCAAAATCGGCTGAATTGTCTAGCCGAAAACAATAATAATGATAAAATTTCGTTAATTTTATCGATTTGAGTTTAAAATTTAAGTTTTATTATAGTAAAAAATTCTCAAAAATAGTGACATTTAATTTTTTTTTACTACAGTAAAAAATTATAATATAAAATCACATTTCAACTCAAATTAAAAATTTAAATCAGTGAAATAAACAAACTCTTAAATAGTAAGTTTTGACTATGTTTTGTGTTGCAAGGTGATGCGAGAGTTAGATGATCTCATACAGATTCACTCTAACGATCGAGTTCTTACGTCAACATCAATTATCCTTTTATTTGATTTCTACCAAAATGGTATCAACAAAAACACGAGCAACTTTATTTTTTGCTTAAAAAAAGAATACAAAAAGAATTCAATTAGCCATAAGGCCAATAATAGTAATAGAAAATAACCATTTATCCTAACCAAGATAAATGCCAAGAAAATTATGGGCCCATTTAGTAATGTTTTTAAAATAGTTTTGTTTTCAGTATAAAAATGAAAATGAAATTGTTTTGAAAATCATTTTGGAATCGATTTTAAAATTACTTTTGGTGGTCTTTCAATAAATTAGTTTGAGTGTGATAAAAAAGTAAAATCGTGTTTGGTTACATTTATATTTGTTTTGAGTATATATAATTAATAATCTTAATTTAATATATTAAGTAATTAATAATTGATAATTATTTAGCAAATAAAAATTAATATATTAATAATCTAATAATAATGGATAAATTATAATTAATAAGTACATCATTAATTAAACTATATATATAATAAATTAATATGCTAAATAATTAAAAAATATTAATGTAATTAATTATAAGTAATTACTATGTTAGTAATGTACTTATATTTATTAGATTATTAGTAATTAATTAGTGTATTAAGAAAAATAATTAGTACATACATAATTTATTAATATTCCATTTACTACTTAAATTATTAACTTTTAGTTACATAATTAAATAATTAGTTAATTAATTAGTAATGTTTATTTAATAATCTATTATTTGATATATCACATGATCAATTTTTGGTTATTATTCTTTTTATAATGATTAATTACTAATTATCAATTATTAATTATTATTGATTAGTATATTATAATTATAATTTAATATTAATTATTAATTGAGTAATTACTATTTATTTTTTATTTACCGACTATTTACTAATTAATCGATTATAATTAACATAATATATGATTGATATATTAATTACTAATTATTTATTTAAGAATCTATTATTACTTGTTTTATTGTTAATATGTTATAAAATTAATTTTTGGTAATTAATCTTTAACTAAATAATTAATTACTATATTATTTATTATTTTATTGATAAAATTAAAAACTTAATAGTAATAAATTCATATTTAATTAATAATTAAGTAATTACTATCTATTCATTAGTTATTAAGTATATCTATTTATTAATTATTAATTAATAGATAGTATAATTACTAATTACTAATTAATTATTTAACATAACTATGTTGATAAGTGCTAGAAAATGAAAACGGAAGAGGGAAAATAACTTTCAATTATTTTTTGTTTTCATTTTTGTTTTCAAAACTTTTATTAAACAAACGCGATTTATAGACCGTTTTCGTTTTCGTGTCTCAAAAAACGTGTGAAAATATTTTCAAAAATAATTTTAAACGCACCCTATAATTCCTCCGACCAAGAAACAAGGAATACTAGTCTTATATTATTGTTGCTTAACTAACGTAATTTCCCACCATGATGAATGCTTGCTCTTAGTCTTTAAGGCAACGTTGAGTTGAGCTGCAACCGCGGTTGTAGTCGTTAGCCGCCTCACGGGTTTTGTTGGGGCCGGCGCCGCATCCCGGGTGCGGACCACCGGGTTTTTGGCAGGGGTCGACAACCTCTTCATGTAGCTTGATAGTCTCCGTTGTGGCCTCGACGTGGTGGGGTGGCTCAGCACCACTATGTAAATGATAGCCAAACACACAACTAAAAATTTCATATTTGCTGATTTCCTTGATCGATATTGTTATTGTATTTTTTTCTTTTTTTTGGTTAGAACAAGAGTGTTATTGTGCTCGTTGGTGGAATGTAGGATTATAAGTGGTTCTGACTTGTGTTTTATGTATTTTTCTAGTTTTCATGTGGCTCTGATTGCCCGTACTCACAGGCTTAAGGGGAAAGCCATTAACAGCCCAAGGCCCCTTTAAGTCAAGGCCTCCTATTATTAGGAAACCTTAACTAATCACCTTTACACCTCACAGACTCATTATTAATCAGTTTTTAATTTTTGTCTTTTAAGAAACAACGAATAATATTATTTAGGTCTTCGTTTAATTTTGTAAATCTTATAAACATGAACCAGTGCTAGAAACATTTGTTTTTCTCCTTCAGCAAAAAAATAATAATAATAAAATAAAAAATAAAGAAGTCGTTTTTGTTTTTTTCAGAAGCTTACACATTGGATTTGACTGCACCTATGGGGCGCCTCAATAGAGAATTGGGCTTCATTCTTCCTACGCTTGTAGACTCATCAAGCCCGTTGCACAAAATGAAATCAGACAAAGGAGAAAGGAGAAAACATCCGTTCATTTCACCGATTCGAATTTTGAATTCGAGTTTTGTTACAGTAAAAAGTTCTCAAAAATAATCACATCTAGGCCCGTTCGGTTCGCTAATTCAAGTTTTTAATTCGAGTTGAGATGTGATGTTGTGTGAGAGCTTTTTACTGTAGCAAAAAAGTTAGATATGACTGTTTCTGAGTTTGCTATAGTAAAAAAACTCTTACATAAAGTCACATTTCAACTCGAATTAAAAACTCGAATCAGCGAACTAAACGGACCCTTTGACTATATGAGTTTAGATTTTTATTTGTTATTTGTTATTAATAATTTTTAATTAAATAATTATATTAGTTATAAGGATATTAATTAAGAATAAATAATAAAATTAAGATCACCGGAAGTAAGTTTATAGGACGTTTAGTTCATAAATTCATAATCATTCTCGATTTACGTGTAGTTTTTGTAAAAGAAAATACTGTAATGAGTTACGAATCATGATCCGAACCATGACACTAATTCTTACTCCAAACGCACTTTTAGTAATTTTCTAATTAGAGAAAATAGTGGCTGAGCTCTCATGTGCTCGGTCTTAAAAACCGATTTATTTATATCCACCCCTGCACTCACGCAAGCATATAAAAGCTCCAAACCCCTCTTCATTACATTTATCTGCTACATCTGTAAGCATAACTCACAAAATGGAAAAAAAAAATGATAATGCATAAAAAATAATACAACACTTAAAAATTTATAAAGAAAAATTATCTAGAGAATAATTAAAAAAAGTTTGTAGACGTTTTTCAATTGAGTAGCAATTTTTAAAAATAAAAAAAAAATGATAAGGCATAAGAAATAACACGAGACCTAAAAATTTCTTAAAACAAAAATTGTGTATATGATAATTAAAAACTTTTGTAGATTTTTTAATCGGATGGCATTTTTTTTTCTTTTACTTTAGTTGTTACTAATGCCAAATAGGAAGAACGGATGATAATGGAAGGACTCGTGAGAAAAAAAAAAGGTAAATAGTGACGTTTAGAAAGAGAATTTATACTAAGATTTGAATCATGATTCGTGACTCGTTAAAATATTTTTTCTCATAAAAAAATACATAAAATAAGAATAATTTTAAATTTATAAACCAAATATCGTGACGAATCAACGTAAAATTTGACATTTTATATAACAATAGAGAAAAGAAAAAGCGGAGGGGAGCGAATCTCGAGAGAAAGAATAGCGTGTGAGAGAGAGTGAAAACACTGTAGAATATTGGTTTGAGAAGCAAAATTGATAGGAGAAGTAAAACTTGAAATTGGGTTGTTCGGTTTAAATTAAGGGCCGTTTAGTTCGCTAATTTAAATTTTTAATTTGAGTTTATATGTGACTTCATGTGATAACTTTTTACTATAACAAAAAAGTTAGATGTGACTGATTTTAAAAGCCTTTTACTATAGCAAAACTCGAATCGGTGAAATGAACGATGCCTAAATTTTACAGATTGGAATCGCAAAGCCCGCTTGGATTGGCCAAAATTGGCTGAACTGCCCAACCAAACACGCTAATAAGGTAATCTTAACAAATATCTCTTAAAAGTGTATTAATAAGTATTTTTATATTTTACTCTTAATTCATAACTTTTTTAGTCAAATAATTACACTAATAAAAGGGTATTTATCAAGAATAAGTAGTAAAATTCAAGCTCATACACTTTTAAAGGTAAATTTTACAATTTTCTCCGCTATAATTAAGCTTTGATCATATATGAAGACGTTTGGTTCATGGATTAAAATCATGTGATTAAAACCATTTTTTATTTACGTGTATTTTTTGTAAGAAAAAATACTGTAACAAATCATGAACCGTGATTCAAATCATGGTTTGAATCCTCCAACCAAATATCCTGTGTTACGAGATTGAGATTATCACCTACAGATTCACTCTAACCATTTGAGCTTTTGCGTCAACATCAATTATGTTTTTATTTGATTTCCACCAAAATGGTATCAACAAAAAGACAAGCAACTTTATTTTTTGTTTAAAAAAAGAATACAAAAAGAATTTAATTAGGCATGAGGCCTATAATAGTAATAGAAACGGACCATTTATCCTAACCAAGATAAATGCCAAGAAAACTATGATTCCTCCAACCAAGAAACAAGG